TAGCACCTGTGGCACCACAGTTAGCACCTGTGGCACCACAGTTAGCACCTGTGGCACCACAGTTAGCACCTGTGGCACCACAGTTAGCACCTGTGGCACCACAGTTAGCACCTGTGGCACCACAGTTAGCACCTGTGGCACCACAGTTAGCACCTGTGCACCACAGTTAGCACCTGTGGTACCACAGTTAGCACCTGTGGCACCACAGTTAGCACCTGTGGCACCACAGTTAGCACCTGTGGTGGCCCTAATGACACTGGTGCCGCTGTCCGGTCAGCTGGAGTTCAACACCAACACACAACTCCTACATACACACAGCTGAGAGTGAAAAATACACAAGATGTAATTTAAAGATATAGAACCAAATGGTAAACAAACTCTAGTGTGATGTGAGTGGTGACGTGTGAGAGTGGGTCAAGTGTGTTAAGAGTGATTGACTACACACTTATTATCACTAATTAGCCATGTCTCAAGGACTTGTAAGTTTAGTGGGATAATTTTACACATGCATAACTCTGGAATTTTACACACGTGTGTGACCGAGGTGCTCTCGTGGGTGTCCAGTGACAGTCAATATTCCATTCACCCTGGGCTGTAGGAGACTCGAACCGGGATACCAGGCGTGTGAGGGCGTGTAACTCTATGGGTCTCTATCTACGGAACCTTTACTATTTTACACTGTCAATAATTTCATTTGAGTGACCCACGCCGGTCAACTAATGAGTAATTCTCAATAACAGAGAATTACCTCTGTATGTCTCACTTTGTAATTCTCACTAATCCATCTCCTATTTACCTGTCATTCTCTCTACACATCGCCTTCTAAATATCCCAATTATTTCTCTCATTTCCCGCGTGTTTCGTCCATTCCATGTTGTTTATATCACTATTCCCTCCTGTCGTGATGTTGTCTATGGCTTCATTAGTCATTTTCCGCTTAACCGTATCTTCTTCTCGATCTTCTTTTATGCATTAATCTCCCCTCTTCCTTCCGCCTCACCCACTGACTTGCAGGGCTGTTTTCATCCCGTATTTCCCGCCGTATAAGACATGATAAGTTTACGTGGAAGCTGTGTAGTAAATACTTTGTGTGCATACATATGTATTTATCTATATAATATACATACGCACGCACACACATATATACAATATATGAATATATATATATATATATATATATATATATATATATATATATATATATATATATATATATATATATATATATATATATATATATATGGTGGCTGATGGAACAAAAACGTGTGCTATCCGCAGGCAAATAAGGTAGTTTCTTCTCCTTATTTCTTTCTTTCTTTCTTCCCTTCCTCGAATTTCTTCCCCTTCCATTTTTTTCCTCCCATTCACTAGAAGGAGTCTAGTGTGGGTTGTGAAGCCCCCTTTTCGTGAGTAGGGATAGGAGACAGACTAAGTGTCCCATACTCAAGGTCAACGGGTCAGCCTTAAGATACATGTGCCACAATGCCTCTGTCCTGTTTCTCTTCTCGATGTAAAAAGAGAGATTTTAAAGCAACACAAATTATTATTACATGTATATCATGGTCAGATGGTCAGATGACACGAATGTATTTATAAATCTGAATCGTATACGAACTCAAAGAGTTCAGTGGTTTTAGATAGGTAGTTAATACAGTCTTGGTTACAGCAGTCGGCTGTTGGAAATGTAATGACGGGTCGCGAGAGCTGAGACGAGGCCTGGAGCAGAGAGCTTGAGCGAGGCTAGAGGAAGAGAGCTCGAATACGGGGCGAGAGCGAAGAGCTCGAATACGGGGCGAGAGCGTAGAGCTCGAATACGGGGCGAAAGCGAAGAGCTCGAATACGGGGTGAGAGCGAAGAGCTCGAATACGGGGCGAGAGCGAAGAGCTCGAATACGGGGCGAAAGCGAAGAGCTCGAATACGGGGTGAGAGCGAAGAGCTCGAATACGGGCGAGAGCGAAGAGCTCGAATACGGGGCGAAAGCGAAGAGCTCGAATACGGGGTGAGAGCGAAGAGCTCGAATACGGGGCGAGAGCGAAGAGCTCGAATACGGGCGAGAGCGTAGAGCTCGAATACGGGGCGAAAGCGAAGAGCTCGAATACGGGGTGAGAGCGAAGAGCTCGAATACGGGGCGAGAGCGAAGAGCTCGAATACGGGGTGAGAGCGAAGAGCTCGAATACGGGGTGAGAGTGAAGAGCTCGAATACGGGGTGAGAGCGAAGAGCTCGAATACGGGGCGAAAGCGAAGAGCTCGAATACGGGGCGAGAGCGAAGACCTCGAATACGGGGTGAGAGCGAAGAGATCGAATACGGGGCGAAAGCGAAGAGCTCGAATACGGGGCGAGAGCGAAGACCTCGAATACGGGGTGAGAGCGAAGAGCTCGAATACGGGGCGAGAGCGAAGAGCTTAAGTACCGTCGGAATCTGGCTGTCTGCATTGCGGCGCGGCTGTATAGCATCTTTTAAGAGGTAGGATCGAACTAGACTCCGTCGAGTATCAAAAGCGTTACTGGTGCAAGTCGATGGTGTTGAAGAAGATCCCAAGTATGTACACAGAGCATTTGTCACTGAACCACTATTGGAGTTAGACCGACGACGGTCCGACACACTGAGGAAGACTACGCCCTCCCCAGAGGTGACACGGGGCATGAGTACCCCGTAGAGTCATAGCTTGATTGATTGATCAAGATTAAGCCACCCAAAAGGTGGCACGGGCATGAATAGCCCGTAAGTAGAGGCGTATATCATGATCTCAACTTGGTTCAGGCTCCATCTAACTTGCCAAGTTAATCCTTTTCTTGCTGGTTCATCTTTCGCTGGCCTGACTGCTTTCTGGAACACCTTGGCAGAAAGTGTCACTTGAAATTGGTGAACATAGGATTAGTGTGGAACGTCTTGGAGTGTGGAACTAGGGATAAGTTATGTGGAAGTAACAGGTGGTACATCTTATTGCCTGCAATGAAAGTAATTAGAATTTGGGGCAATTATTTGAGTCTTAATATAGTTGCTACAAATCAAGTGCTTTCATTCCGTCCCATGTTTACTCCCGTCCCATACTTACTCCTGTCCCATGCTTACTCCTGTCCCATGCTTACTCCTGTCCCATGCTTATTCCTGCCCCAGGCTTATTCCGTTCCCGTCCCCATGCTTACTCCTGTCCCATGCCCCTTCCAGTCCCATGCGCTTAAGCGTTCCATGCTGCATACCGTCTCATGCCCCCCTTCCGCCCATGCTCTCTCCCGTCCAATACTCCCACCCGTCCCATGCTCTACCCCTCCTCTATGAGCTACTGGGCTGTAGTGGCCATTATCCTAGGGGTTGGGGTGTTGTTAGGTCCATTACTGGCTGTTAAACCTTGTGCTAGGTCAGGGGGACAAGGCAGCAGGGGTCGCTATTCCCTACCAAAACCTGTCCACTTTTATCTTCTTTTTTTCTTTCCAGTTGAAGACTAAACAGGTTTTTTTTAGATAATTGCGTATGTTTATCATATGAGAGAGAGAGAGAGAGAGAGAGAGAGAGAGAGAGAGAGAGAGAGAGAGAGAGAGAGAGAGAGAGAGAGAGAGAGAGAGAGAGAGAGAGAGAGAGAGAGAGAGAGAGAGAGAGAGAGAGAGAGAGAGAGAGGGAGAGAGAGAGAGAGAGAGAGAGGGAGAGAGAGAAAGGGACGATAGGTCTACGTTTTTAAGAAGGTGCCAGTAGTAATCAAAGACATTATTAAAACCACGAGAATTACATGCATCAAGCCACAGCCATAATTAAAATATATACAATAATTATTAGAAAACTGTATTATAAGTATTGTTAAAATTACTTGTACTTAGTTCTCTATCCTTCAGAATCCGGGTCACCGGCCACCGCTGACCTGTTTCTCCTATCCTATACTCCATCGACGTCCAGGACGTTTGCTGATATTCTTCCAGCTTCCCCGATCATTCTTCTATCCTTCATGTCCTGGTTAATTCATTCCTTCATTCATTTGCCCGATAGATCCTGTCCTGTTCACTCCTACAGCCTTCCAGTCCTCTTGCAGACGATGAGTCACAATAACGTGGCTGAAGTATGTTGACCAGACCACACACTAGAAGTTGAAGGGACGACGACGTTTCGGTCCGTCCTGGACCATTCTCAATCGACTTGAGAATGGTCCAGGACGGACCGAAACGTCGTCGTCCCTTCAACTTCTAGTGTGTGGTCTGGTCAACATATTCCAGTCCTCTTCTTAATACTCCTCAGCGCTCTGGGGCTTCACACTCAGGCCTCACAAGGGGCCTCGTAGTCTGGTGGATAGCGCGCAGGACTCGTAATTCTGTGGCGCGGGTTCGATTCCCGCACGAGGCAGAAACAAATGGGCAAAGTTTCTTTCACCCTGAATGCCCCTGTTACCTAGCAGTAAATAGGTACCTGGGAGTTAGTCAGCTGTCACGGGCTGCTTCCTGGGGGTGGAGGCCTGGTCGAGGACCGGGCCGCGGGGACACTAAAAGCCCCGAAATCATCTCAAGATAACCTCAAGATAACCTCCAGCCTCCATTCCCACGCCCCGAGCCGACTCCTGTGGCCCACGAGGCCTCGAGCAGTTTCCTTTATTCTTGTGTTCTGAAGTCATTTTCTCCTTCATCCCTTCAAACTCTAGGTCAACTATTCATCCCTCCAACCTTCAAACAAACTTCCTTTCGCCTCTCTGTCCCCCCCCCCTCTACCCCACCCCGGGCCCCCCACGCCTCCACGTTGGGGCGACGGGGGGGGGGGGGAGGGGGAGAGGGGGGCTGGTGGGGGGAGAGGTTGGGGGGGGGGGCTGTGTGCATCATATCGACACAGGACTCGACAAGCGGCGAGAGTGGCGGAGGTAACGTTAAAGGTGAAGCCCGCCCTCCAGCGTTAGGTTCCCGGGCAGCGGTCAAGGACGACCCCCTCGCCCGTTGGAGGTCGACAATCCTTCCCCTGGGAACGACGACCTCACCTGGAGGATGGCGACTCATCCCCCGTGGAAGACACCGACTCCCCTGGAGAATGACGACCCCTCACTCCCATGAAGGACAACGACCCTTCCCCAGAAGGACGAAGGCTTCCCCAGAAGGACTAAGGCTTCCCCAGAAGGACGAAGGCTTCCCCAAAAGGACGAAGGCTTCCTCAGAAGGACGAAGGCTTCCTCAGAAGGACGAAGGCTTCCCCAAAAGAACGAAGGCTTCCCCAGAAGGACGAAGGCTTCCCCAGAAGGACGAAGGCTTCCCCAGAAGGACGAAGGCTTCCTCAGAAGGACGAAGGCTTCCCCAGAAGGACGAAGGCTTCCTCAGAAGGACGAAGGCTTCCCCAAAAGGACGAAGGCTTCCTCAGAAGGACGAAGGCTTCCCCAGAAGGACGAAGGCTTCCTCAGAAGGACGAAGGCTTCCCCAGAAGGACGAAGGCTTCCCCAGAAGGACGAAGGCTTCCCCAAAAGGACGAAGGCTTCCTCAGAAGGACGAAGGCTTCCTTAGAAGGACGAAGGCTTCCCCAGAAGGACGAAGGCTTCCTCAGAAGGACGAAGGCTTCCCCAGAAGGACGAAGGCTTCCCCAGAAGGACGAAGGCTTCCCCAAAAGGACGAAGGCTTCCTCAGAAGGACGAAGGCTTCCTCAGAAGGACGAAGGCTTCCCCAAAAGGACGAAGGCTTCCCCAGAAGGACGAAGGCTTCCTCAGAAGGACGAAGGCTTCCCCAGAAGGACGAAGGCTTCCTCAGAAGGACGAAGGCTTCCCCAGAAGGACGAAGGCTTCCTCAGAAGGACGAAGGCTTCCTCAGAAGGACGAAGGCTTCCCCAGAAGGACGAATGCTTCCTCAGAAGGACGAAGGCTTCCCCAAAAGGACGAAGGCTTCCTCAGAAGGACGAAGGCTTCCTCAGAAGGACGAAGGCTTCCTCAAAAGGACGAAGGCTTCCCCAGAAGGACTAAGGCTTCCTCAGAAGGACGAAGGCTTCCTCAGAAGGACGAAGGCTTCCTCAGAAGGACGAAGGCTTCCTCAGAAAGACGAAGGCTTCCCCAGAAGGACGAAGGCTTCCCCAGAAGGACGAAGGCTTCCCCAGAAGGACGAAGGCTTCTCCAGAAGGACTAAGGCTTCCCCAGAAGGACGAAGGCTTCCCCAGAAGGACGAAGGCTTCCTCAGAAGGACGAAGGCTTCCCCAGAAGGACGAAGGCTTCCCCAGAAGGACGTAGGCTTCCCCAGAAGGACGAAGGCTTCCTCAGAAGGACGAAGGCTTCCCCAGAAGGACGTAGGCTTCCCCAGAAGGACGAAGGCTTCCTCAGAAGGACGAAGGCTTTCCCAGAAGGACGAAGGCTTCCTCAGAAGGACGAAGGCTTCCCCAGAAGGACGAAGGCTTCCCCAGAAGGACGAAGGCTTCCTCAGAAGGACGAAGGCTTCCTCAGAAGGACGAAGGCTTCCTCAGAAGGACGAAGGCTTCCTCAGAAGGACGAAGGCTTCCTCAGAAGGACGAAGGCTTCCTCAGAAGGACGAAGGCTTCCCCAGAAGGACGAAGGCTTCCTCAGAAGGACGAAGGCTTCCCCAGAAGGACGAAGGCTTCCCCAGAAGGACGAAGGCTTCCTCAGAAGGACGAAGGCTTCCTCAGAAGGACGAAGGCTTCCTCAGAAGGACGAAGGCTTCCCCAGAAGGACGAAGGCTTCCTCAGAAGGACGAAGGCTTCCCCAGAAGGACGAAGGCTTCCTCAGAAGGACGAAGACTTCCTCAGAAGGACGAAGGCTTCCCAGAAGGACGAAGGCTTCCCCAGAAGGACGAAGGCTTCCCCAGAAGGACGAAGGCTTCCTCAGAAGGACGAAGGCTTCCTCAGAAGGACGAAGGCTTCCTCAGAAGGACGAAGGCTTCCTCAGAAGGACGAAGGCTTCCTCAGAAGGACGAAGGCTTCCCCAGAAGAACGAAGGCTTCCTCAGAAGGACGAAGGCTTCCCCAGAAGGACGAAGGCTTCCCCAGAAGGACGAAGGCTTCCTCAGAAGGACGAAGGCTTCCTCAGAAGGACGAAGGCTTCCTCAGAAGGACGAAGGCTTCCTCAGAAGGACGAAGGCTTCCTCAGAAGGACGAAGGCTTCCTCAGAAGGACGAAGGCTTCCCCAGAAGGACGAAGGCTTCCTCAGAAGGACGAAGGCTTCCTCAGAAGGACGAAGGCTTCCCCAAAAGGACGAAGGCTTCCCCAGAAGGACGAAGGCTTCCTCAGAAGGACGAAGGCTTCCTCAGAAGGACGAAGGCTTCCCCAAAAGGACGAAGGCCTCCTCAGAAGGACAAACACCTCTTCCCAGGAGGCGACTCTGTATCCTGACGGCGGGTTCATCTTGAGTTACCATCTAAGACCACTGAACCCGAACTCTGAACTATGTATTCCAGAAGTAGTATCACCTGGATATCCCCGGACCTTGTGACACCAGGCAAACAACACATTAAAAGTCTGCTCTCGCCCACTACCTGCACAATATACACTAACAACTCAACAACCCAAAATAGCGAGAAAAAAAGTCTGCCTCTCTTTTTTGAAAACAGAATATATACCAAAGTCATAACTGCCAGACACTATATATAATAGAGAATGTATATTTTTAGTTGTTATGTAACATTAAAGTATTTATTTGTATGATGCACATAAAAACTGCATTGATAACATCAATACATTTGTCATCAATCTTACTGAGATTTACTGAATAACGCTAAGAGTGAACTATATTCACATGAACACTGCTCCATACTCATGGAAGCAGCCAGGGGTCACCTCATCAGCTGTGCACCTCATCAGCTGTGCACCTCATCAGCTGTGCACCTCATTCATGAGGTAACTCATAACATCCAGAACATCAACGGGTGCTATTATTTTCTCTTGATATTCCCCAGTTCTTCTTGTAACTATATCCAGGTACATATTTTCCAGTTATTCCTGTACACTCCAACCAGAAAAATACCATGAGATAGAGACTAAAATAGTAACGTGTTTTGTTCACCAGACCACACACTAGAAGGTGAAGGGACGACGACGTTTCGGTCCGTCCTGGACCATTCTCAAGTCGATTGTGATGGTCCGTCAAGTTGACCATTCTCACAATCGACTTGAGAATGGTCCAGGACGGACCGAAACGTCGTCGTCCCTTCACCTTCTAGTGTGTGGTCTGGTCAACATACTTCAGCCACGTTATTGTGACTCCTCGTCTGCAGTAACGTGTTATAGTCACTTGACTGACGATATCTACTGACTGATGTCCTTCTGACGTCCCTGAAGCTCTCCCCAGATTCAGCTCAATCATGTAAGACCTGAGCAACCGTTGATATCCTTTGGTAACTAAGATTATGTTATAGAATTATGTCCACGAGCCTGCGACAGCAGGTAGTCCTGGTTAAGATAACAGACTCAACTATATAATGGTCACAAGGCAGATAGTTTAAGATGGTAGTAGTAGTAGAAGCAGCGTATGATTACCTAAGTGTAATTACAGAACGAGAGCTACGTTCGTGGTGTGCCGTCTTCCCAGCACTCTTTGTCATATGACGCTTTGATATTACTGACAGTTCTGGCCTCCACCACCTTCTCTCTTAACTCGTTCCAACCGTCTACCACTCTGTTTGCAAAGCTGAGATTACTAATGCTTTTTTCGGCACCTTGCTTTCATTAATTTGAATCTCCGACCTCTTGCTTTTGAAGTTGCGGGTTTCAGACGTTCCTCTTTATCAGTTTTGTCGATTCCAGTTGCTATTTTGAGTGTAGTGATCATATCCCCTCCGGCTTTGCCAAATTTAACACCCCCTAGTGTCTCCTCGTAGCTCTTGTGTTTCAACTTCTGAAGCCATTTAGAAGCATGTCTTTGCACCTCTTCTAATTGACTGATATTTTATGTGTATGTGTATGACCAGGAGGCCTGGTCGACGACCGGGCCGCGGGGACACTAAGCCCCGGAAGCACCTCAAGGTAGCCTCAAGGTAGGTAGGTAGGTGGATATATTTACTATTTGTATCTGCAGAATCGAGCTATTAGCTCTAAAACTAATAGCTGCCGCTGCTTCTTTCAGCAACCATGGTGATACTTTGTCAGGGTGTGTGGCTTTCACCACACCCACTTGTGTGTGGGTGCCACTCTCTGTGCCACTTCCACTAGTCGTTGTGTTACTTCTCTCAGTGCCACTTCCACTAGTCGTTGTGTTACTTCTCTCAGTGCCACTTCCACTAGCCGTTGTGTTACTTCTCTCAGTGCCACTTCCACTAGTCGTTGTGTTACTCCTCTCAGTGCCACTTCCACTAGTCGTTGTGTCACTTCTCTCAGTGCCACTTCCACTAGTCGTTGGGTCACTTCTCTCAGTGCCACTTCCACTAGTCGTTGTGTCACTTCTCTCAGTGCCACTTCCACTAGTCGTTGGGTCACTTCTCTCAGTGCCACTTCCACTAGTCGTTGTGTCACTCCTCTCAGTGCCACTTCCACTAGTCGTTGTGTCACTTCTCTCAGTGCCACCTCTACTTCGGTTATGCACTTTTCTGATAGTGTCTCTTCCCTTGTACACATGTTGCGGTTAACCTCTGTCCTGTTACTATACATTTTCTTTGTGTCTCCAAACACTGTGTGTGGATGGATTTGCATGCGTGTGTTTGTTGACATATTCCAGAGTTAGAGATAAGACTCAAGAGTTGTGAACAAGAGTTACAGGTCTCTATATACAATAGCTACAGATAAGAGTAGCAGGGCACATTTGCAGAAAAGAGTTGTAGTGAAGATATGGAAGACAAAAGACATGTACAATCGCTGCAGATAAGCACAGGCGGCAGATAAGCACAGGCGGCAGAAGTTGCAGACAACTTCTAGAGACGCGGAGCAGACAAGTATTACAGAGAGAAGTTGGAGATAATAGGTGGGAGAGAAGGGGTGTAGAGAGGACATTATAGGGAGGGGTGAGCGTGGGTCGGGGAGTTATATGACAGTGCCGGCTGCCTCGGGTCTCCTGCTCCAGCCTCTATATTACTTAATTCCTTCCTCCTCTTCCTCCGTCTCCTTGTCCTCCTCGTGGTATTTTGCATCTTCTTCTTCCTCCTGCCGCCCAACCACTTGGGCTAGACGGTAGAGCGACGGTCTTGCTTCATGCAGGTCGGCGTTCAATCCCCGACCGTCCACAAGTGGTAGGGCACCATTCCTTTCCCTCCGTCCCATTCCAAATCCTTATCCTGACCCCTTCCCAGTGCTATATAGTCGTAATGGCTTGGCGCTTCCCCCCCCCCCTAGATAAGACCATTCTTCCTCCTGCTGCTCCTCCTCCTCTTCATACGCCTCTTTGGCCCCTCTTCCATCCCCTAGTTTGTCTTTTACAGTCTTTATCTCCCTTGTTTTCTTTCTTCATTCTCCCATTTATCAACGTTAATCTCAACCTCATGAAGTCACTGTCCTCCCACTTTACCCAACATATCCCAACACCACCAACGTCACTCGTCGCCTCAACGAGCCCCTGTCCTCCCACCTTATCATTTACCACCAGCTTTTTTTTTTATATAAAAAGTAATATCCGGATTTAAACAGGTAACGGAGGCATGGCACCGTTATATCTGGATTTAAATAGGGGATTTACTGTGTTTTACGGTATTATAATCCATTATAACTACCGTTCTTTTAACAATTCTCTCTCTCTCTCTCTCTCTCTCTCTCTCTCTCTCTCTCTCTCTCTCTCTCTCTCTCTCTCTCTCTCTCTCTCTCTCTCTCTCTCTCTCTTCCTATCTCTATCCAGTCCATCAGTCCATAACAATACATACACTATTTCTATATCCACAAGTTTGCATATACACTTCCTGAAAACTTCAGACGTGCACATCTACACACATACATTCAACACACACCATATGTGTGTGTGTGTGTGTGTGTGTGTGTGTGTGTGTGTGTGTGTGTGTGTGTGTGTGTGTGTGTGTGTGTGTGTGTGTGTGTATGTGTGCGTAGGTGTACTATTAATACAACTATACATTCTTACATTACATACACTGAATTAGAATTTAGAAACTATCAATATGCGAAAGCGACGGCCCATTTAATCGGATTTCCGGATAAGTGGAGCATGGAGCCTCCACGTCAGTGTCAGGACAGAGCCGGTGCTTGGATATTGTCCGTTTGTTCAGTGGGAAATGCGGATAATTGAATACCACCCACTTGCATGTGTGATAGTCGCACTAAATACATTGAATATCGTCTGTTATGCGCTTCAAACAATCTGTTAAATAGGTTGAAACTGTCCGAATTGATCATTGGAACCTATTTATTGTGTAAGTAGGCAAGTGCCTATTTTGTAAGTAGAGAAATGTATGTTAATAAGCTGTCCGATATGTGAGTGGTAAAGTGTGGGTGTAGAAGTATACTGGAGACACTTGGCTGGAGCTAGTCAAGTGTTGTATACATGACACTTGGCTGGAGCTAGTCAAGTGTTGTATACATGACACTTGGCTGCTGCTAGTCAAGTGTTGTATACATGACACTTGGCTGCTGCTAGTCAAGTGTTGTATACATGACACTTGGCTGCTGCTAGTCAAGTGTTGTATACATGACACTTGGCTGCTGCTAGTCAAGTGTTGTATACATGACACTTGGCTGCTGCTAGTCAAGTGTTGTATACATGACACTTGGCTGCTGCTAGTCAAGTGTTGTATACATGACACTTGGCTGCTGCTAGTCAAGTGTTGTATACATGACACTTGGCTGCTGCTAGTCAAGTGTTGTATACATGACACTTGGCTGCTGCTAGTCAAGTGTTGTATACATGACACTTGGCTGCTGCTAGTCAAGTGTTGTATACATGACACTTGGCTGCTGCTAGTCAAGTGTTGTATACATGACACTTGGCTGCTGCTAGTCAAGTGTTGTATACATGACACTTGGCTGCTGCTAGTCAAGTGTTGTATACATGACACTTGGCTGCAGCTAGTCAAGTGTTGTATACATGACACTTGGCCGCAGCTAGTCAAGTGTTGTATACATGACACTTGGCCGCAGCTAGTCAAGTGTTGTATACATAACACACACAACACCAGCAGTGTTCGAAGCCACTTAGACTCACGCGAGTCTAAGTGACCACACATATTGTAGCTATTATTTAAACGCGACCCGCGTGAGTCTCTATGATTAGCTAAACACTTTTTTTCACGAATTCTAAATTCTAAATTTTTTCTAAACACGAATAATAAAGTATTCGATTGGGCAACTGAAAATAACATGATGTATACCGGTGATAAGTTCCAGGTACCGACGTATGGTGGAAACGAGGAACTTAAATGAAACTCAGGGTATAAGACACAATCACACCTAAAAATCAATTACGGGCTCACCATAGCCCGTGCTACTTGGGACATTGTTCCAGGTAGCGAATCTTTAACAACAACAATACTCATAGAAGAAAAGCTAGATGTAAAGAACCCGGGG